CTTTTTTGCACATCCGGTTGAATTTTTTCAAAGTTTGAAGGGTCATATCTCGTGATCTTGAACTTTGATGACCTTGACCTTTATAAGGTCAAAGGTCATTGACCTTAGCTATCAGTTAATACTTTGACATTTGACCTCCGACATGTACTTCCGGTTTTATAGCTTTCCGAAAACAGCCAAATTGGCAACTTTGGACTGCTCTAGCACGTGACCTAATTAACCTAGAGGGATTCTTAATGTGCTTTTCATGCTCTTTCAAGTGAATTATAACAATCGTTTTTTAAAGCAAAATTGAAATTCGTGAATTTTTCAAATTTGAGCTTTTTTTTACAATATTTCTGTTTCTTTGAGCTTGGTGTGTATATATCTTATGACCTATTTTATGTAGAACATTGAAACTTGGAACACAACAAGACAATTTGAATATGAATTAACCTATGACAAAAACGTTGAGGTGGGCGTGGCACATCCGGGTGGAATTACTAATTGTTTACATTTTGGGAAAGGGGCATAACTCGCATAGGATACATTTGTTCAAAAAGGAACTTTGCACACAATTACCTCATTATTTTAGCCATTTTGTGTTAATAGGTCAATTGTTTCAGCTTTATAGTTCCAAAAAAGGGACGGGTTTTGAAATTTCCATATTTTCAATTTTCTATTTTGACCTTTATTGACTCTTGTTGACCTATATCTTTTGACCTGTATGATGTAGAAGCTTTAAATTTGGGATACTACATAACATTCAGAATATCAATTAACCTATGCAAAAGAAATTGAGGTGGGCGTAGCACATCCGGGTTAAATTACTCATTATTGACAATTTTGACAAGGGACTTAACTCGCAACGTATACATTTGTTCAAAATGGAACTTTGCATACAATTACTTCATCCGTTGAGCCACGTTGTCTTAGAAGTTCGATTGTTTCAGCTTTATAGTTCAAAAAAAGGAACAGGTTTTGAAAATTCAAAATTTTCAATTTTTGACCTTGACCTTTTTTGACCCTGATTATTGTAGGATCAAAGGTCATTCAAATTGGTTATCTATTTATACTTTTATATTTGCTGTCCTATCTCAACTTCCGGTTTTATAGCCGTATATATTTAAAAATTTTGATGACTTGTATCTCGTAACCTTGACCTTTGTTGACCCTCTCCCTTTCAATGTTAAATGTCATTGACCTTGGCTATCTTCTGATACTTTCATTTGTGAGGTCTGTCTACTTCCGTTATAACAATCTTCCAAAGAATTCTTCTCAACTTTAGACTGCTCTTGCGCGTGATGTAATTATCGTAGAAGGTTGATTTTTTCAGAGTCTTTTGCAATTTGCTACATTTGCAAAGTCCCACCCTGTGCCACGTGTGGCTCTAGTTATATTTTTTGTATGCACCAACTAACAATTAGCTAAATATATTTATCTGTACTGTAATTGAAATTCTATTTTCCATTCGAACCACACACTATACACAATCTATATATGACAAAAGAGTCTAAAGATTGGTCATTAAGACATATTTCTTATTTAACATTTTAATCACTGCTGTATGTAGTGTGGATGTCTTGTAGTCCGAAACTCTATAGATTCTCGTCTGGTATCAGGTATCAACAAGAGTAAGATAAAACGATATATTTTATTCTTTCTATTCTTCGAAGGAGCAAATGA